AGAGAGAGAGAGAGAGAGAGAGAGAGAGAGAGAGAGAGAGAGAGAGAGAGAAAAGACTCACTGTATTAATTCATCCATCAATTAAACCAAACCCTTTATCTCAACTCCCTCTCAGAAACACCTTTGGAAATCATCAAACCTCTCCAAGAGACAGAGGTCATCGAAGGTGAGCCCGTAACCTTGACCTGCGAGGTCAACCGTCCAGGTGTCAAGGCCACCTGGTTCAAGGACAAGGTTGAGATCGGTCCCACCGAGGACCGCCACATCTCCGTAGACGGTACCGTCCACACGCTGACCCTGCCCAAGACGGACCTGGAGGACGAGGCAGAGTACACTGTCAAGCTAGAGGACAAGAGCTCCTCGGCTCTACTGCTCGTCGAAGGTAATGATGATGATAATGATGATAATAATGATGATAAAAATAATAATAATAATAATAATAATAATAATAATAATAATAATAATAATGATGATGATGATGATGATGATAATAATAATAACAACAATAATAATAATAATAATAATAATAGTAGTAGTAGTAGTAGCAATAATAATAATAGTAATGATAGTAATGAAAATAATAATGATAATAATGATAATAACAACAACAATAATAATAATAATAATAATAATAATAATATTAATAGTAATAATAGTAATAGTAATAATCATGATCATGATCATTATAATGATAAGAAGAAGAATTTAAGAAACTACGCAAAGAAAAACTGACGATCAACTACAAAGTTCCAACATCTCCTCCTCCCCCCCCCCCCAAACTACCCCCACCCCACACCCCACCTCACACCCCACCTCACACCCTCCCCCACCCCCCACCCCACCCATCCACACACACACAGAGGAACCTCTGAAGATCACCCGCCCTATCTCTGACGCCGAATGCCTTGAAGGCGAGACCGTGAGCTTCGTGTGTGAGGTGAATAAGGAGAACTTCCCCGCTATGTGGCTCAAAGATGGCATCGTCATCACGGAGGAAGACGGCTACGAGTTCATCATGGACGGCAAGAGACACATCCTGAAGATCCCTGAGGTCAACATGGAGCACGACGCGGAGTTTACGGTTAAGCTCAACGGCTGCGAGTCCAAGGCCAAGCTCAGAGTTGAAGGTGGGTTGAGGGTTTTATTTCTGGTGCCCTTGCCATCTCTTCGGGGAAATTTAGGCAGAAAATTTAAAGGTTATAAAACTGAAAGAGAATTGTTTTCCACCTTATCATCTCTTCAAATGAAACCTTGTTTGTTAAACGTAAAGATGTACATTTAGACAGAAAATGTATATAGTTATAAAACTGAAAGTAAACTGTTTTTCCGAGGTTTTTATTGAGTTTATAGCAGTCCTCTACGATTCTATAGTTTCAGGGCTCACATGAAGTTATGGCTTTACATATTGAATCAATCTTGCCTCAAGCGTACGCCACAAAAATGCACAAACACATACTGAACCGTAAAGTTATTGTAACGCTGAAAAGTTGACTCAATTTTTAAAAATGAATCAACGAATAGATTTCTAATTTATGTTGATTTATCAAATTATGGAGAAGAAATCAAAGTAAAAATTTCACATTATGATCCATCCCCCCACCCCCCACACACACAATAATAATAATATTAATATAAATAATAATAATGATAATAATAATAATAACAATAATAATAATAATAATAATAATAATTTTTTTAAAAAATGATAATAATGATAATAATAATAATAATAATAATAATAATAATAATAATAATAATAATAATAATAATAGTAAGAAGAAGAAGAAGAAGAAGAAGAAGAAGAAGAAGAAGGATATAAAAAAACTAATAATAGTAAAATGTTATGACAAGCTAACAAAGACACAAAAAACCCATGTCTGTTTCCTCCCATTCAGAAGTAGCCGCCATGTTCACGGCCACCCTCAAGGACGTGGAAGGTCGTGAAGGTCAGGACGTGGAGCTGGAGTGTGTGCTCAGTAAGCCAGACGTCAAGGTGCGCTGGATGAAGAACCGGAAACCGCTCACGCCAAGCGACCGGATCAAGATCGTGTGTGACCGGTACCGACACTTCCTGCGGATCATGGACACCATCCAGGAGGACGAGGGAGAGTACACGGCCGTGCTGCCAGACGACAAGGAGTCTTCCGCGAAACTCAGGATTTACGGTGAGGGTAGAGAGTAGTAGCCAAACTCAGGATTTACGGTGAGGGAAGAGAGTAGTAGCCAAACTCAGGATTTACGGTGAGGGAAGAGAGTAGTAGCCAAACTCAGGATTTACGGTGGGGGTGGAGAGTAGTAGCCAAACTCAGGATTTACGGTGAGGGAAGAGAGTAGTAGCCAAACTCAGGATTTACGGTGAGAGCAGAGAAATATAGTATTGTGTAGATTTACGGTGGGAGCAGAGAAATATAGTATTGTGGGGATTTACGGTGAGGTTATTTAAAAGCTTTTAAAAGTTCTTTCTGATTTTTAAGAGGATGTTTGTGTAGGCAAATGTACTTGAAATTTTTAACTTGACCTTAGATATAGTTTAAGCAATAAGAGGGAAAACGTTTGTATTAAGAAAGGTAGCTTTAGTAATTACAGTACACTGATTATGTTCATAGCAATTAGTTCAGAAATATTTGAAAAGAACTGACAGCACTTGAACACATAGTGGCCACCCGATGTCTTACACACGGCCATCCAACAAAAGCATCAGAAACTCATAGATGTTGAAAAGGATTCAGCATTTTATCATAAAAAGTAGAACTCTCAAGCCAAAATTAGCTAGTCATTTTGGAAATTGATATTCATGTAATTTCATATCATTTAGGAAACTGATATAAGCTTCATGACATTTGTAAACTATTTTCTAATCATCATGGTCTTGTG